ATTTATGTCAAATATCTATATCTGCAACAAAATGTGTGTGCATGTATGTCTGTGTATGTGTGGGTGTCTCTGTGTCTGTATGTTTAAGTATGCTTATTGAGTATTAATAAACTAGTTTAATCATTTCATTTCAGTGTGTGTGTGTGTCTGTGAGCCTATTCTCCATTTTGGATGTGTTTTACTGTCAGCCATATGTCCAGGATGATCTAGACCCTAAAACATACCACCTTAAAGGCCTTAAAGTGCTTGAACCCCGGTAATTGCTGCTTGCAGCTATATTTATTATCATTATTATTATTATTATTATTATCAGTGGAATTAAGGCTCCTAGCCAAACTCATTAATCAGAAGTGGGAATCCACACTTTTGTGCATAGTGCAGTCTATATGGTAAGAATGTTGTTGCAGCGGTATGATATAAAGACACCACCCTGTTGCATCACTGTGAAAAATAAAAGAGCGACATACTAGTGCTATACTGACGAACACAATCAGATGGCCTCTGTGTACATGTTGCACAAGTGAAGAAATCTCACAGTCTGTCAGTCATACTCTAGATTTTTTCTGCATGCCATTCTGAACCTGTTCCAATCTACATGACATGGTGGTAAATGCATGGTATGCATGTATATCAGTCAACTTTGTAGCTGTGGCCTGTTTTAATGATGTGAGAAGATGGTTTTACACTCTTCCCTTTTCCTGAGAACAGTGCATTTGACGCCGCTCATGACTGTGGTTTACTGTTTCCGTCTTCTCTTGCTACAGAGTGGCGTGGTAAAGAACTACATGGTCAACCAAATCCTATAGTACGACGCAAGTAGGTCACAACTTTGATAATGCAAGACTTGAGAAGTGGCTTTTAATGTTATTCTTTTCTTAAAAAGGTAACAATTGCAAAAATCATTGCTGTTTTGATGTCAGTCACATTTGATATTTGATTTTAGAATGTACATATTATTATTAGAGGGTACACAAATGCATATATACATTCTCTTTCTCAAAATAATCCCTCTTTCAGCAATTAATCAATATGACTAAGACTAAATACTTCAGTTATGCAGGAAGTTATGCAAGACCGTTTCTGCCCTTGTGCACACAGTTGGGTGTTTTTTTTTAAGTGAGAAGACAATATGTCTAATGTGTGTGACAGCTTTTGTACCTTTTTTTCTGAGAGTGTGGTAGCCATTGACATCCATAGCATTGATGTAAGTCAGTGGCTACCAGCGACTGTTTGATTACCAACATTCTTCCATTTTTCAAATTTTCATTAAAATGCAGTAAGATCTATACAGACCTGTAAAATTTAATTTATTTTTTTTATTCATTAAATATTTTAATATCGGCCAAATCAGCCATGAAAATAATCAGGTTTTCCGGCCAGAATTTAAATATTAGTGCATCCATGCAAAGTCAATTAAGTTGTGTCACTTTATATTAGGTGCTTTAACTACCAAGTACATATCTCAAAATGTTATGATTTTTAAACTAAAATGTATAATTAGAAGAGTACAATATATAGGCTTATTAACTTATTAGGGGAGGACAAAAGTTTTTCTTTTGTTTTATCTTTTATTACTGACGTTGCTGAGACCGTCTCAAATTAAACTCTTAGATATTTTGGTGCAAGTTCATATATTTGAAGCTAGTCACATTGTTAATTTTCCTATTCAAATTGTCACGACAATAATAATTGACAATAATTTTGCATATTATTGGACCTATGCAAGGCATGGTAATGTCAACAGATTTTAAAGTTTTGAAAATCAAACAGTGTTAGTACTGTGTTGGATTGCCACCATTGAAATGTTGGGGTCTGAGGTAAAACTAGTTAGTCCCTTGTTTAATAAAATGTCTTCACAATTTGTTTGCCAGGAAATAACTAAAAATAAAGTAAAAGCAACTAACTAATCGAGTAAACCGGTTGCATTTCTCAATGCGAGAACAAAGTTCTGTAACCTTCAGCCCGTTTAGTGACTGATGACATCAATGCCGTGCCATCATATCACACCACAACATTTGCATAACCTCAAAAGTCTCTGAAACGGTACAGGAGAGTTCAACAGTCAACTGTCAAATTATAGACATCTATAGAAAAGGCCAGAAATGATCATAAAACCCAAAGACTTTTAGTTTCTAAAACATAATTTTATTTAACTTTATATATATATATAAAATAAAAAAAAAGCCATTACAGATCTGAAGCATTGTTTTAGAAATGGAACACACTGGTTAATCTCATTTTCAGCATTCTGGTAACAATGTCTGTAAACCAATGCTATACAATTTCAAAAAAAGAGAAAAAAAAACCAACTAGATTCACAAAATGCAACAAATTCTGAAAACGGGCTGCAGAAAGAAGACTACCATGATAATGTGAAACACAGAAGTTTGTGGCCTTTAAGCGAGAGGTGAAAAGAGTACAATGCAGAAGGGGGGACAAAAAGAAAAAAGCCCCAGATAAATTACCATGAAAGTTTAGCTTTTTTTTTTCATTGTAATTAAGCATGGGTTTAGAGTGACATTTGCAGAGATTCAATTAAAAAAACTGGTTAAAAAAAAAATAATCTAAGAATTAGAACATGTAAACTTCCTGATTCCTGATTCTCAGACTTTCAAAATCACAAGCAGTACAAGTTTGAAACGAATTGGCCTGTGAAGTTCAAATATTTACCACGTGCTAGTAAGAAGGGGACTCAGAGAGAGCCCATCGTATCATTTGAGAACTTTATACTAATCATAATAGTATAGGACAATTGTGCGTATAGACGTGGCAGAAAAACACAAGAATTACCATTCCTCTTGAAAATCTTACATTAAAGGGCTTCAAATACTTACAAAACTCAAAACGGTGAAATTCAGCAGTACTCTGCTTAAAAAATACATAACTGACTCATTTTAAGGCTATCAGGCCTAGTTAAAATGAGTCAAACAAATTCAAAATATAGGAACAAAGAGTTGACCAACAAAAGTTACATGAAAAATAACAATTAATGGTGTCACATTGATGTTTATTTATGCGGAACATCAAATGCAATTTTGCATTTGTTAAGTGTAACTGCAATGCAGATGAGGGGAAGGCAAAAGCAATACTGATGTCAGTGATGATAAAATCAGAAATACTGTAGCGAGCTTTGAATGTCAAGCTGGTAGGTTCCCCTAAATTTGTTGCATCCAAGTAATAAACTTTTTTGTTTTAGAGAATGTGGCGCAAACTAGAACGTTGGGTACTAGTCGAACTGAGTTGATCCATCTATGTAAACACTATTAAGGATTTTCTGATACAGAAAAAATACTGTTGACAAGGAATGAGAGGGAGTTATGTCACCGAAATGAATGTTTTTTTTTTTTTTTTTTTTTTTTTTCTTTCCAG